GACTAAGCGTTTTTTTCTTTCTGGGGATTTCTCCCATGATATGCCGAGCAAATATTATGCGATCAGACAAAATTCTTAATTCGACTGGGTGTGCGACGAGTTTCAAACTTGTTTCTGGCTCTTCATTTATATGGGCCATAAATTATAAACAAAACACTGTAGAGATTGAGACGGACTGGAGTCTCTAGTGCTATGAAATTTATATGCATCTTCGTGTAGATTTCTTTGTTAAGGTAATTATTTAATTTCCGCAAATCCGAAAGGAAAGTATTTAGATTGGGTTAGTTAGAGTTTCGTGCCTTTAACCAGTTCGGATAAAAACACGTTTATCTCCTTCAACTATCTACATTAAAAAACAACCGTCCGATCAAGTACCCATTGGCACGTGTCACAAATTGGATTACAGATGTCTGTCTATCTCTCTCTCTCTCTCTCTCTAAATAGAATTGTCATAAATTGAAACTAATTCATGCTAATGATTCAGTCTAATTGCTGTTTAATGCACACATGTCTATTATTCTAAACTGATAAAATGCCCATATAATTTTAAGTCACATATCGCGTGGCGGTCAAGTGCCAAGGAGTGTATTTTAAAATTGTTTTTCTAGCCGACATTTGCATTAATTTGCTACACTTAAGGCGGCGACAGACTTTCGTAAATATTAATTTTACAAATAGCCGAAGACGAGGAAGAAGCAGACGCAGAAGCAGCTGTGGCCCCTCCTCTCCGTTAAATGACTTGACACAAAATATCCATAAATATAACCAAATATGAAAATAGTTATTTTTTTATTTTTATTTTTGTTTTGGTCTTTTGGCTTTTGGCAACGAGTAGAGATAGACACACAAAAAACTTCTTTGAACAAAATTTCTCAAGGTTGGCTAGAAAAACCCCGCAGAGAAACAAAAAAATTAATTGAAACTTGAGCTGATTGCAAGAGAGAACGTTAGAATTGGTGGTAAGGCGCAATGAAACCAGTTATGAAGTACTATATTGTAGCTACTGATGGCTGCAATGTGCAACTAATAGACATTAATGGAGAAAAATTAAATATGTTTACATCTTAGGTGATTTGCCTACCCACAAATGAGTTTTGCATAGATTTTTGCTGCTTTCGTGTAATAAATTGCATAACAAATTGATGAATTACATTGGGTAGTTAATGCTTAAAGGTATGCAGCGATCGTAAATTTTTCAAATAAAATTCTTATAGTATAGGAAAATTTGTCGCTCTGTTGTATTGTATATACATATATGTATATTATGCCAAGGTCTGGTCAATAATAATGTCTCAACACTCGATCGTGTACATGTATATATATATGTATGTACCTATACTCGACTCCATTTTAATTCTTGAGCACTTCAACTTAGGTATAATTTATGTACTAAAGAGTATAAAAAGGGTAGGCGTGGCATTCTCTAGTATTATACGAAAGCTACCCAGTGGCATAAGTGGGTCTAGTACAATGGACAGGATGAGCTGCTAGAGCATACTATATACTATACAATATACTACTTCAATATACTATTAGATTACTCAATCTAGCTATGTACTATATATGTATGTATACTACTAGATAATATATATTATATCTATGTGTGGAAAACAAAGATGGCTTCAGTGGGATCCAGTTGGAAATTGTAAGACGAGCTAGCTAAAATACGATCGCAAGATAATTGCTTAGGGTACTCTGAGGTGCTCCTTAGGTTAAGTTAGGTTAGGTTGGGGTTGGCATACTATGAACCACTTAATACTCTCATAAAATAGCTTACATAGATGACTTGAGATATGTGAACAACTGTGTCAAGTCGGTTGAAAAGGTAGGCAAAATAAGAGTAAACAAGTAAGAACGTTGCAGTCGGGCGTTACCAACTGCAGAATACTCATTCACATCCCATCAGCAATTTAGTGGCTCTGTTTTGAGTTCCCAGCTCTAATACTGTAGAAAATGTTTTTTTTTCTCCGATATGCCACGCCCCTAGTGCCCGTAGACATGTAATTTTGACATCGATATTTTTAGAATCATAGCATTAGCTCTAGGAGATATAATTTTACCCGATTTGCCACGCGATTTGCATTTTCCGATTTGCCATGCCTCTAGTAGATTCGAAAAATTTTAACATTTAGAAATCGGAGATCTATACGAGTATGTTTCAAATCTCAAGGTTGTAGCATCAATAGCGCCTAAAAAACTGCGCTCATACGAACAGACGGGCATGCACACAACCAATATACTCATTTCACTTTCGTGAATGAGCATAAAAATTGAAGAAGTTACAGCTTACAGAAGTAGGCTAAGTAGGGGTACAATTTGAATAGATTTAGGAAGTAGGCATACAAAGGAACATTCGACTAGGCAAGTTTTAGTAAGCCGGCACCTGGCTCTCCAATTTTTTTCGTCCTCTAAATTTTAAAGGCAGTTGAATTGTGGAGATAAAATCAAAGCAATTGCGCATTGCACTGAGCGCATTTCACACATATTACGCAAAGCCAGCAATATGTCTAGCTCCAGTGGACTGCAGCTCAAGGAGCTGAAGCAACAGATCAGCCCAAAGTGCCGCAGCGAGGAGGATGTCTCCGGCATACCAGAGCAAGTGGATTCGGCTCTGCATGCAAAGCCCGGACTATCGAGGGCTGACTTGACTGACGATTTGCCATCGATGCGCCCGCCAGCGCCGATCATACTCGCTGGCATAGCCGAGCAGCCAATTGGCATGAATTATATTGAGGAGCTGCCGGGCTCAAGCTGGGAGCGCGTGATGAGAACCGTGGTACGCTGTCTGATGTACTGCATCGATCGCATTGCCTCTGGCTTTGGGCTGAGCCGCCAGCAGACGACCTGGTACAAACACTGCTGGGACAGTCCCACTCCCCATCCGCGTGGCATCAGTTTCCTGGGCGCCAATGAGATGTGCATAGCTCCGGTCTCGCTGATGGAGGAGCTAGCTGACGATAACGATATTTGATTGTACATCATTTTATTTTTATTTATTTTCTGGAAGTATTAAAAAATTTTCGGAGCTTTTTGGGGCTTGTTGAATTATAATGTTGTTTAATTGCATGAGCATTACGGATGACATTAAGATCAGTTTTATAAATTTATTTATATTACTGTGGACAATTTGATATTATATATTAAAATTGCTTGTTATTACTATCTTAACACTTGTTAAGATAGAATATCATACTGTAATGAGTGTTTGCAATCCTCTCTAATGGAGTTAAATTTTTATTGCTAGCTCAAAATGATCATTTATCAAGGATATTTATAGCCAGTCACGAGATGAAATGAGTTTATTGGTTTAGTGCAATGTTCATTCACTACGCCGAGAAAATACTCTGTGACTTTTGTGGGTTTGAGGGGTAAGCTCTGACATATTACAGCTATGTTATCTATAGGCTCTTTTAAGGATTGGTCAAATCTATATTCTAACGTATATGCTACAGTTCTGCGGTTGGAAATCTTAATTAATGAATTTGACAAAAGTTCTGTCAAGAAAGAAGGAAAAAAGTATTATTCAGTCGTTAGAGCCGAACTGCAACGATTTTATTTGACTAATAATTTAGATAACAAGAAAAACAACTTTAATTCATCTTTTCTTTATACATAACGCTCATACATTATATGTAAAATCTTGATCGCAGCAACTGTTTTGACAGCTGTCTACGCCCGTTTTGTGTACTTCCTTCTTGTTGTTTCGTTTTGCTAGAGCTTGAACTCTGTTTGTCTAGTGACACTTGGAAATAATTGCTAACATACATATATCTAATTGATTGGAGGGATCAGTCAGCTGGGAGTTGACGTCACTTCCACATTGTTGAGCACAAACATCAAAAGTCAAATAATTGCACACTTTAAAGTGCTTAGGAGTTGAGCACAAACAAAATTGCTACCAAAATAATTGAGAGCCCAAGTCAATTGAATGGAATGGAATGAAATGGACGGACTGACAATCGGTGATGATTGCCGGAGTTGCGATCTGACTCAGAGCATGCCATTGTCCACATGCTCAGCAATTGTGTGTTATGTGGTCAAATAACAATCAAATAAAATACCAATATAAAATTTATGAAACAAGTCGAATGCTTAATACCCTAAAAAAGAATGAGAGAACGGACTGGCAGGGAAATCATCCGGTAGACTATATCAAACAAAGAAGTTCATCGAATACTTAGTACCGGAAATAAAATAAAGACTTCGGGTTCGTTGCTAAAGATACGATAATCATACGATAATAATTGGATTCGCCAGAATATATAGAGTATAGCATAATTCCTACACATTATCGAATCGACTATCAATGAACCAGACCGTGCTGATACGGATTATAATACCTAAGAGAGATATCTCTTATAGCAATATCACAATACCTTTCTGGTAAGAGTATACATTTGAGTTCAAACTCAAAACGAGATGTTATTCAACCGAAAAGGTTAGGCTAGTGAACCGAAAGTGCTGCGTCACGGCTCTCATCGGACGTACACTCGATAAGACGATTGTCCGATTTGCTATGCCGCGTTGCGATTTCCATACAGTTAATTGATTAATGAGCAATCGAGCAATTACAAATTATTAATAGACACATTAGATGATGAAAAGACGACAAAACAAAGCAAAGGCAATGGAATCGAATGTGCTCAACTAGAAGATACCCAAAATAGTTGTAGCTAAACTTTAAAGTTTTTCTCATTTACGTTCAAGGAACAAGATTTTTATTCATTAATATGATGTTTACAAAAAGAACGTCTTCAGATAATAATACTTTTATAGGCTCTTAGATATTTTAATTTTCCTCTCATATTGTTCTGTGCTGAAACAATATACCTGTTTTATGCACATTAAATGCTTATATCAAAAGGTCTATTTTCTACATATATATATATATAAAATAATTTATTTCCTATGTGCTATTCGAACTGCCGGCCCATTGCCCTATTTCCGAACATAAGCAACACCCAGATGATCTAATTAAGTCAGGGCCGTCTCTTAATGTTCTAACGAACCAGTTCCACAGACCCAGCTACGATAATGATGCTGCCGATTATGCGCAGGCTAAGTGTAATCTGTAAGATGAGACGATTATAGCTGCTTAGGTACAGGGTCAGAAACTCAAGAGGCGACCGGTTGAGCGTTAAGTGTTCTACAGATAAATAAACAAACAAAAAAATATTTCCGTCTCCGATACACAATCATTAACAAACATTTCAATGTGACGTTGTAGTTCTCCAAACAACATTAATAATTAATAATAAACGATCTCTCTTTCTTTCTCTATCTTTTGCAGGTGAGCTCCAGCAACAGAGTTGACTTCGTGCGTGGTAAAAACTTCTTAGCCCTGAAATTCTTATGATTTTTTTTTTTTTTCATTTCATTTATTGAGCTACAGATCAAGTTCAGTGGGTCGGGGTCAACTGGGTGGGCTGCGTGAGTTGGGTCTTGTCTAACGGATTCACATGCAAATGCTAATTGACAAACCGTATTGGAGTATAACAAGTTTATTAACCTCTAAGTGGAACATAGCGACGACGAAAAAAGGAAGTTCATGCATTCAATATTAAAACAATAACAAGTCACACTCCGAGCCGTAGCGGTAGATGATATTACTTCCGTCAGCCATTGACCCAGTTGATGCTTCGCATTGGCTTCAGTTTTGCATTGCCAAATTTATTTTTATGT